TGTGACTTGCCGTTCGAAGTCGGGCAGTGGACAGCACGACTGCGCATTACATTTGCACGGCAGTCCACGTGTCTGTCCGTGGCACGATCGATAAGGCCCAAATTCGAATCAGTCACAATCCGGTCTGTTAGGTCCTTTCGACTGGGCGGACTGGTTGGAAAAAGATGCTCGGACCAGTCACCGTATTTGGTCTCTCGTGCAGTAAGGACTGGTCGTGTGGCGCCTCTGCGGAAGGTGATCGGCGAACACCGTTTTCAACATTTGATAACTTGGACAAATTGAGGATCCCAATACACCTGCGCAGCGAAAGGGGAGCCTCGAAGTGATGGACGAATGTCCAACAATGAAATGCGTACACAGGCCTCAGTACGATTGAAGTTCACCTGCCAACCAAATCATTCGCGATATCAAAAGTATATACCCAGCTTGGCTGTGTTGTTAGGGCGACTCTATTGGACACACCCTGTCCGAAATCATTGCTCTCGTAGTTGTCATAATTCCCAGCGTCAACGGTGGACTTGGTTTATGTCTAGACGACTTGTAGCTGGGTGACCCACGGAGTTCAGACTTTTCTATTTCGCGCCGCCTTTTAATGACTCTTTCTATTGTAAGCCCTCCATATTGTATTCAGCCGTTTCTAAATAGGACACTTAGCAATGTACTAGTTATGTGTTGGAAGAGTTACGATATTTGGAGCTATAGATCCTCACAAGCGGTTTTTTGTTCGCATAGTCTCTTCTTCATGGATCGGCAGGTCTGCCCCACATAGACCTTGCCGCATGAACATAAAACCTTGTAGCAGCCTGATCTATAAAGAGGGTCCGAAAATTCTCTTAGCGAAGGAACTACATAAGAAAGTATAAATTTATCCTTAAACTTTGTTATGATATTCCACTGCCTCAGTAGATCACCCTACTTTTCCGCAAGCTGACAGGAACAGGAAATCAGTAACCGAGCGGTAAGGTCCAACTGTCTATTTTGGACCAGATAGCAAATTCCCCTCATCTTCTTATTGACAAATGAAATGTAATTATCTACTGATTATTATGAAACAATATATGCCTTAATCTACCGATATCCTGGTCCCTGCGGTCTACGTCTAGACGCAGACTCATTATCAACATTGATTTCACAACTATCTTTACTTTACAGATATGATTGGAGAAGAAATTAATAAGTAAACCCGCGTGTGTAGGTTTCCTATACATATAAATAAAAAAAAGTAATCTCTTCCCCTTTTATAGCCCCATTGTAAACTTAGTCTTGGCATCCATTCTAGTTATTAGCTCAAGCAGTTTACCCAAACTATTTTTGCCGACAAAGCAATCGTCCATGTAGTGAATTAATA